TCCTTAATTGAAATGGTCATTGCTTTTTCCAATTCAGTACTTTCCAGGAGTATTTTTGACTAGACCTATAAGATCTAGTCAGGAGTTGTAGATCAACATATGTGACACCTATCATGCTGAAGAATACTGTGTGTCTTTGATATTTTATCTTTGTTTTCATTGGAAGATTGCTAATCAAATCCGCTAAACAAAATAAAATTATCCTAAAACCCAAATCTTGATTGTCTAAATTCCTCCTTCTACATTCTGTTTGAAGTAGAACATTTTGTTTTGTTTTTTAAAAAATATGTTTTATTTAACCAAACCTGTAATCCCATACCAGATTTGGAAAATAGGAAGATTTAACTGTGTTACTAAGTGAAAATAAAGTGGTTTTTTATGGTTCACTAAAATACGTTAATGAAAATTTAGAAACTATGCTACACACCAATGAGCAATGTGCCATTTCATTTTATTTACAGTCATTTTAACTCATTTTTTAATTTTTTTGTATTTCTTTTAACTTTATCTGTTGTTTTTCTATAAGATAGGTATTCTTTCTTAGAAAACAGGTGGCATATAAACCAAAGAAATAAGAAATGCAAATAAAAACAAAAGTTGCCATTTTCTAACCTGACTTATTTCTAAGAAGGCCTTTAAAATACTGGACAATATTTCATATTTTGCATTCTGTAGGAGTAAGTTTTGCCCAAAGACAACTGGGTGTTCTAGCCAAACCCAAAATAATCATCACTATGGACAAAGATGTCATCACTATCAGAACAGAAACTATATTTACAGTTAATGAGATCTCCTTCCAACTGGACCAAGAGTTTGAGGAAAGAACAATAGATAACAGGCTGGCTAAGGTAAACATTTCTAAGTTTTATTCCCATGTTTAAGAAGAAGAGATAGAATAACTTGCCATATAGCAGAATAATTACTAGAATGTCAGTCTAGGGTTAAGGTACCAGGCTAGAAAGCAAAAGATTGTGAGTTCAGCTTTTTCCTTAGTCATGCAAGCCTGATGGGGGATGTTGAGCCAGTCGCTCTCTTTCAGCCCAACTCACCCAAGGAGTTGTTGTTATAGGGCAGGGGTCTCAAACACAATTTACCTGGGGGCCGCTGGAGGCAGAGTCCGGGTGAGGCTGGGCCGCATAATATTATACTTTATATTATACTTTATATTTATATTATACACTAATATTATACTTTCATATCACGGTGGGGGCCACAGGATATCGTGCTGTGGGCCGCAATTGGCCCACGGGCCGCGAGAATGAGACCTCTGTTATAGGGAAAATAGGAGGAAGGAAATGTTGTGTGTTGGAAATGTTCACTGTCTTGAGTTATTTGTAAAAATGATAAAGGTGGGATACCAATAAGTTAAACGTCAGCTAATGAAAAATGGGATGTATGGGGGAAGAAAGAAAGGATTCATTTAACAAGGAGAGAGAAAGAAAATATATTCCCCATAACCTCCTGTGTATTTTTAGAGCATTGTAACAAAGGATAATGACACCCTCATTCACACACAGAAGTGGAATGACAACCACACTACTATCAAAAGAAAAATAGTAGATGGAAATATGGTGTTGGTAAGTTTCTTTCAGTCTACCCTGCATTTTAATTTATTTAGTTCCATATAAAGCCCCACAAAACCTGAATTTAGAAGAAACATTATATACCTCATTGTTCCTATGGCATTGCCACCTATTAACATAACATTTCAATTGTTTTCATTTTGCATAAGTGGATAGCCATTAAAGCACATAGAGATCAGCAGGCTGTTATGCAATCTATATAACGCCATGTGGAAGAAAGACTACTTTTGTAGTCTTGATCTCTTGGTATTATTGTTGCAAACATTATGGCCACTGCAATAGTGGTTCAGTGTCTGCTTCTCATTTTGTAGGATCAGCACAATTCCTGTCAATATGATCCAGGTTTAGTTTCAGCTTTTGGAAATTTTTTGGTTTATCATTTTGCTTTATTGTAGTCTACTCTGGGATTACTTGTGATGGGAAGCAGATGAAAAATTGATCTAAATGGATGTTAATCATAGTACATTTAAATGGATATTAATCATAGTACATTCAGTAGGAACTTCTGAGTACATGAAATTCCTACTAGCATCCTTTTCTCTTTTTCCAGGAATACATCTTGAATGATGTCATTTGTACCAGGATCTACAAAAGAGTATAAGACAATTCATTCCCAGGTTACATTTTCCTGCTTCTTATTCTTCAAGTGATGTCAATGTTAACTATGAGGCTTGTATGCAATAAATAAATAAATAAATAAATAACCCCATACTGAAATAAGATTGAAGAGAAATAAGTCCAACATCTTAATCACAATATTATTTATCATAGGATTACTATTTTCTCAATAATCATAGTTGCTGAACTGATATTCTTCTTAAAGCTAGCATCTGCATTGGAACCCAGTATACAAGTTGAAATCAAACCAATACAGAATAAAATAAAAACTGTTGGTTTTTTTTTTAGCTGACAATTGAGGCTCTGTTACTGTTAGAATCACATCAGTCTTTGAAGTTTCATTACACTGCTGATTCAGGTAAAGTAGAAGTAGAATGGAAAGATCATATGAGAAGCCATGCATCTGCAATTGCACAAAAACTTTACTGAATAGATCAGATTGAGTGTGACACACACACACACACACATACACGTTTTCGGTTTTTAAAATAACACTTGACAATAAGTTCTCCATATTGAAATTCAGTTAAGCAGTTTGATAAAACTACACACCATAGTGTGTTGGCTTTGAGAATCTATCTGGGGGTTAGGAAACTTTTGGGACCAAATCACTGTTATTATACTGCAAAAGTGGAAACCTTTTTGTGATTCCCCCCCTCCCGAATCCTAATTGCCCCATACTGTAATTGATTGCATGCTTTTTCCATAATTTTGTGGCATGAAATATATAGAGATTGTTGTGTAAACCCCTAAGTGGGGGAAAAAAATCCAATCTCGGAAAACTAGGGAAAAAAATCTTTCTCCTTCTTCTTTATAATTGCTCTGCTAGTTACAGCCCCCCTACATCTCGCAATCAACCAGAAGTGGCAGATATTTCAGTTTAGTCTATGAGAAATCATAAAATATCTAGGCAAGACAGAAACTATCATTCTCAGTTGAGAATAGCAAACTGAAAAGCAGAAGACATACTTCAATGTATTATATATAGGATTATATATAGTATTATATATAGTATTAGTTCATCAGGAAAGCAAAGGGAATTATTTGAAATGAGTAAAATGAGTCCCTCTACTGGCTGACTTAAGTAGGAGTAACTGGTCCAGTTTTGGGGAACCAATTTAATAAATCAAAGAACGCATTTTTAAATGAAAATAAGAAGGGCTATCCATTTCTTCCTTTTTTTCTTTCTCATTCTTGTCTTGCCAATGTGTAAATCTTTTTGCATTGTCTGGTAACTAATAATTTGATTACAGAAAAAGGGCAACAGTGTATACTGTATAATGGTAGTGCTGTTTCCAGCAATTATATTTAGAAGGTGAGATAAGATGGCAGAGTTTCAGGAATAGTTTAAGAAAACCATTGTAATGAATTTTTTAAAAGATTGATAAATTGCTAGATAGAAGCTGGAGCTTGTAGATTTCTGAAAAGAACAGGAAGGAGAAAAAACATTTAGAGATAATTTATAACTGATAAAACTGGTCTTTATTTTAAACATATTATGACCTTACATTTTAAAACAATTTACATTTTACATATAAATCAACTTATTATAGTATTCTCAACTCAAATATTTTGCAGAAGTCCAGATATTCCTATTTGGCTTGTTCTTTACCAAATCTTGTTTCCACACAGCAATTCACAAAAGTGGATTCCAAGATACCCAGAGTTAAGCCAGTTCCAGAGATTGATACACAAGTAAAATCAACAGGAAATGAGGATTAGGCTAGGAACAGTTTATTTTGACAATGAGGTTAAACTCACACAATTTGAAAGAAAATGAGCTGGGAAAACAAAACTTATCACTGCTTTGGAACAAATCATTCTTCCAATATGTCAGAGCTTGCATACCATAGGTATAGCTAAAGTGAGAGGACTAACATAATAAAGTTTCTAACCCAAAACACAAGAAGATAAAAAATATGCATGGAAAAAAATCAGGAACCTTTTTCAAGGCTAGATAACATTGCATGAACTTGTAAGAAAGGCACTCCCAACAATTAAAAACAGTTCTAAACTAGGGAGATTTGGGCCATTTGAATTTTTAAAACATTTTTACTTCATTTCAGGGACATCGGGACATCTGGATGGTTGATGTCTGTTCACATTCCATTGCAAACTCCTAGAATACAATAGGTTGGAATCTTACATTTATGATTTATCACCAATTTGGGAATATGTCATTAGTATATCAGGATTATTCTATCATGCAAATCTTTGTGTCAAAGTTATGGTTGAATTTGAGTCCTGTACATCACAAACATCAAAATATGATTCCAACCTTCTAGATGTCATAAAGTTTTGTAAAGCTTCTTTACATCTTCAATTATATTTTTTCTCTACTAATGGATATAGCACTTACCAAGTGATTTACAGTAAAAAAACTCAAGTGTACTTCAAACATTCTTACAGGGTAATCCCCGAAAGAATTAGCTTGTTAGCCTATTAGAAAATGAAGATCTTGTGGGACCTTAAAAACATATACCGTATTTGCCGGCGTATAAGACGACTTTTTTGCCCCGAAAAACATGCCTCCAAGTGGGGGGGTCGTCTTATACGCCGGTATATCCACTGCCGGCTTTCGGAGGCTTGTTGGACGCAGCGAAGGCGCCTCTGGCTTCCCGGATCCCCTGCGTCGCTTCCGCTTCATCCCGCTCGCCTCGCTCCGCCCGAGGCTGCAGCCTTCCTGCTCTTCCCACGGCCCCTGGCACTCCGCCCTGCCGCTGCAGCCCCGGGGATTTCTGGAGGGCGTTTCCGGTGGTGGTGGGGGGTCGTCTTATACGCCGGGTCGTCTTATACGCCGGCAAATACGGTAAATAGATCACAATTTTGTGGGTCAAGATCCATATTATGTCACTGATACATGCAGGTTTATACAACATGTTGAATTACCCATTTTAAGTACATTGCAAGGCAATCTGCTACACCTGAAATACTTATTTACCTACCCTAGTATTTCTAAGAATGAATCCAACTCTTGATTAAATATCTACTTCAAATCATCCAGTTTATGAAAACTGGAATTAAATGATCAAACCACACATATATTCACATACCAAAATAAAACAAAGATGCCTAATTCAATAAAAGTTCAATATTAAAAGCACACTTATTTGACTGTTGCCATTCTAAGAGGCCAAAATACACTCACAGTGGCTTAATCTGATATAAAATACTGTTGCATTATTCTACTCAAATCTATGGTAAGTAAGATTTTTGGATTTAGTTCGGTCATATTTTCTGTTCTGCCATTGTGTTTGCTATATACCCCTCAATAATTAGTATTGCAGTTTATGGAATCTTTTTTTTTTAAACCAAGAATAAAATATGTAAACGGAAAGTTAGCAGAAGGCATTTTTTCCCTTATAAATAGGAAGCATCAGTGAGGAGGATTTTTCAAGCAGTGAATTTTCCCAGCATGTTGTTCCACAGATATTTAAAACAGTACATCCATTACTTAAGCAAGGAAATCAAGTTGGTGGAGAAAGAACAGCCTGATAATGGCAACTGCAAGGGGAAAGAGGAAAAAGCATTGGTGCATCTTTCTACCTTTGGTCTGTCTTGCCCTTAAAGGTTCCCCAATCCCTATATAATGACCGATGCCGTCCCTTAGACTACAAAATGAGTCTTTGTACTTCTACATTTTGTGGCAACAAATTCTTTTAAAAACTCATTTCTGTTTTAAATGAAATTGTCTCTCTTAAAACATTTGGCTAGAGATTTTATTCTTTTCCCCTATAATATACAAAGGAAAAAATGTCACATGGAAGTATACAGACAGTCAAACTTGTTCTGAACTGTTATTTATATAGATGAATTCTCTTTTGCACCATATCCCATTTATTTCCTTGTCAGAGGCAAGAAAGCATGACATTTAAAAATGTGCCGCACACACGATAAATAATAAAAGAAATGTTTAAAATATTGGAGAGGGGAAGGATTTCAGCAGCAGGTTTTGACATATCAAGATGGATAACTGAGTCTATATTTACTCAGGTACAATGGGTGAGCATCCAAGGAGTTCTTTATGAAATAGAGGCCATGTGATAGCATATTTAATTCACTGCATCATCCCTTTGCAAAGGAATGATCTGAATCTCTTTTGCTATCCGCTCTGCTATTGCTTGACAATTTGCAGCAATGATCCTTCTTGACATCAAATCAAATGGTCCTCCTAGAAAAACAAACACATATGTCTATTGAACACACAAGTCTATATATCTGACTTATTTCTACAGATTGACTGATGAAGAGATGCAAACTGAGTATTGTTTCAGGAATTACATTTTATTTTCTTAAACTATATTTGCCTGTTACTTCAAATTATATTCAAATTCAAAGCAGCCCTCAGGTCTTTTCTCCAACAACTGTCCTGGCCCAAAGTAATGCAGTGAGTATCCATGGCTTACAGTCAATTAATTTGGCTCTCCAAATGTTTAATCGGCCTCCCTGATTGTAGTCCAATACTTTCTACTATACCATAATGATTCTCTGGACTAGTCCAATTAATCAAGACAAGGAACAACCTCATGGACAGTTCAAAATCCTGCAGCACAGTACAAACGATGATCAAATACATTTTCAGTCTTGAATGAAATGTTAACAACACCAAGTTTCTATGTAGGCACTGAATCCTAGTGTGAGAACTAGCTTTACAAATTAAAAGCGGAAAAGTCTTACATATCAATTACACAGGAGCCATATTCACGTGGCACAGCTTCTAGAAAAATCTTCCTTGCTATGGAAGATGTATTACTGTGGATACAATTTCTCAATTCCCATTTTGTTTTGCCCCTTAGCAAAGCAGTGGTGGGTCATTTAGTATTTTGAACTGAGATAGTTTGCATGTTTCAAAGGAAAAACATAAATCAGGGTAATTCTTATTGTATGATTCCCAGCAGGGTACACCACCAGTAAAAATTAGCAGTATTGCATCAAAACCTTATGTCGTCATGCAAATGCTGTTCTGATGTACCTAGTTCCTGATATTTGACACAAATATGGAAGTTGCAACATTTGCATGATGATGTGTATCCAGGGGCGGGATTCAAAATTTTTAACAACCGGTTCTGTGGGTGTGGCTTAGTTGGTGGCCATGGCTTGGTGGTCATGTGACTGACTGGGCGTGGTCATCTCAACATCACTCACATCGAGACACACGACTCCTTGCCTGGCCTCTCATGACTGTGGGGATGCTGTAACAGTCGTAGGTGTGAAAAACAGTCATAACTCACTTTTTTAAGTGCCATTGTAACTTTGAATGGTCACTGCACACAAGCAAAGTACCAGCAAAGAAGGAAAAAAAACTCCAGAGAAGTTCCTGAGACAGGAAGGGTTAACGGAGAGGCAGTTTATGTAAGCAACACCAAAATGTTTCCTTCCTGCCTTCCTTACAGGATTAGGCCAGTAATTTCTTCTAACAACCAGTTCTCCAAACTGCTTAGAATGTTAACAACCGGTTCTAGCGAATAGGTGCGAACTGGTAGAATCCCACCCCTGTGTGTATCCTGAATGTTTTGTTATTCTCACACTCTCTACAAAGAAATTCTCAGGTTTGTATCCCTGAGTGGGAAATACTTAACTGGTCAAGTTCTTTAACAATCTTAGTTATGAATTGTTAACCGTATAAAACTGGCTGTCATTTGTTTTGAACATATTTTACCTGAGATGTCGAGCAGCACTCCCCCAGCTTCAAGAATGATAATTCCAGCTCCTGCCATGTCCCAGCAGTGAATTCCCATCTCATAATAGGCATCTGCTCCTCCTGTGGCGACCAGGCACATATTAACAGCTGCTGTCCCTACTGCTCTAATCCTAAAACAGGTAACAGAATTACTGCAACCTATATTTAGGCATTTAAGTTAATGACTAATCATTTGGGTTGCTGAAGCACAGAAACAAAATCTGAATTGGGGAACTGAGTAGAATTTAGTAAAATAAACTGCATGTACCTAAATCTGGATGTAGCCAATATCAGGACATTAATCTTCATAACAGCAAACTACTACATCATCCTATCTTAATTATTCAATATGTGCCTTTTTCAATCAGCTAGAATACTGACTTTGCACATTATATATTTGTATTACTGTGTACAGATTCTTTTAATAAAGATAATGAATTAAATGGTAATTTGTCAGTGCATTTGGAAACCAGCTACACACGTCATAAAGAGTAAGAAACAAATTCTTCTGAATGTTGAAAATTAAGTGCAACATCCAAACATCTCTTTTCATGATTCAGTGGACATGGGTCCTTGTTTCTAGCAACTACCTCTGAACTGATGACATTCAACAACATACTTATTTATAAAATTTATAGACTGCCTATCTTACTTCAAGGTAACTCTAAGCGGCTGAGGTTGAAAATTAAAACACACTACCAGGATAGATAGGTCAAGATTAAATTATTTTTAAACAGATTGCTCCTGTTGAATTGAAGCTATTTTCCTTTCATACGCCTTATAAATGTTTACATTAACACTTTCCCTTTTATACCCTTACCTTCAGCAATCACCTTCTGAGACTTTGCACAATATGTATTTTTATGACTGTATACAGATTCTTTAATAAAGGTAATGCATTAAATGGTGATTTATCAGTGCGTTTGGAAATCAGCGACATTTGGCACACAAATCTCAAAATTGGCAACTCTTGCATTGCCACAAACAGCCACACCTCTGCAGAAATTATTTATAGCAATAGCAATGGCACTTAGACTTATATACCACTTCACAGTGCTTTTAGAGCCTCTCTAAGTGGTTTACAGAGTCAGCATATTGCCCCCAACAATCTGGGTCCTCATTTTACTGACCTCAGAAGGATGGAAGGCTGAGTCAACCTTGAGCCAGTGAGACCCGAACTACCAAACTGCTGGCAGCCGGTGATCGGCAGAAGTAGCCTGCAGTACTGCATTCTAATCACTGCGCCACCGCGGCTCATAACCTTTCTTCTTCTTAACTCCTCGCCTAAATTCTTTTTTTTCCTCCAGCACTGCCACTCATACTTAGGGTACAAAGTCAAATAGTTCCTTGGTCATAAAGAGTAAGGTGAGGTTTACAATCAACATTCTTTTTACTTTACTGTATAGTGCCTGCTTTCTGCTTATACCGTCTGGGACAATGTATTGAATCAAGAGGTACTAATTTGGATCCTTGTGTGGACTGAGAGAATAATGGGGACATTCTCATCTTCTCGTAAACATCTGCATTGTACTGATGTTTCAAATTCTATAAAAATGCAGATAAAATCAAAATAAGAAAGATACCGTACCCATGAATAGGAATGCTAAGGAGCCTCTGCATATTAGATAGAACTGTTTTGATAACTTCTGGATCACGGTTGGACCCCAATTCTGATACTAAGAGTGCTTTTGTAATGTCTGCAAAATAAAACAAAATTGCATCTGATCAGTGCTGTTAAAAAAGGCAAAATCAACAATTTTAATATATGATATTGTTTACAGCACATTGTTACTTATTTTTTATCTAATGCCTAGAAGGGCGAGGAAAAAGGCAGTCTTCTCCCAGGCTCACTTAATGCTTACTCAGACATGTATGATCTGAATATGAAGAAGAAAACAAACTATATTGTGTAAATCTTTGTTAAAGAATACAAATAATTATGTCCCACAAAGTTCTGAGCAATCATCTAGCCCTAACACTTGAGCCTGGGTACCCTCCAGATATTACATGAACAATGAGGTTGCATTTTATTCAGATATATGGTACTCTCCAAGTTGATTCTCCTGTTGACTCTCCAAGTCAGATATGCTCTGTACTGTTTCCCAGAAATCCACCTTCTTTTGATGAAAAATTCAATTCAGTAGCAAACAGGCACAGAACATCTTGCTAATGCTTCAAAAAATTTTTTAAAAAGCAGATGAACTGTATGAAAGGGCATAGTGGTATCAAACAGATTGCTTTAATAGCACACCTAGTGCCAGTTAGCACAGAAGCAATAATAACTATGTGCTAAGACAGGGCTGTCAAACTCGCAGCCCATGGGCTAGATGTATCATGCGCTATCCACACTCCACACCCGGTTTAGGGAAGGGGAAAAAAGTCCTGATATGTCATGTGACGACGTGAGTTTGACACCCCTGTGCTAAGAGAAAACATACAGAGTAAGCTCCATGTCCAAGGGCATTTGATCAATCTTTTTGCACTAAGTGGGGCAGTTATAGAACAAATAGAAATATTTCACTCTTCATATACTTCTCTGGCTGACTACTATTAGATGAGCTCATCTCTGTTCTCAAATTATTTGCAATGTAAATTACGGAAGTATATTTAAGAATTTATATCCCTCAGGGCAATTTCTCAATGCAATATAAGAACAAAAGAAGCCTGTGTGGATTTCTGGAGGACATTATTGTATTTTTATCCTGCTCTTTTATATGCATATAACTCAAGGCAGTGAGTATACATAATACTTCTTCCTCCTTCTATTTTCCCCACAACAATCACCTTGTGAGGGCTGAGAGAAGAATTATATCACCCAGCCAGCTTTTGTGCCGAAGGCTGAAGCCTTGTGGTTTTCACCTTTACCATTACACCAAACTGATTTTAGGAAGAAAGCCAATAGCAGAAGGGGCTATGGTGACCTTACAATTTTAGAATAAAAAGAAATTTGAAAAGTGAAGGTCAATGGAAAAGGTCAAGGTACAGCAAGGCCAGTAAAAAACAAACAAACCTCAAAGGAAAGGCTTGTCCTATAAAATGAGAAAAGATGAAAAAGTAGAAAGAACCTTTCTCAACTGCAAGTTGATATCAGCAACAAGGAGACGCAGAAGTGTAAACAAGCAAATCCTTTATTTTTTATTTTATTTGTATCCCACCTTTATTATTTTAAAAATAAAGCAGCGAACATATCCAACACACTTTTCCCCCATTTTCCTCACAACAACCACCTTGTGAAGTGAGTTGGGCAGTGACTGCTTCCAAGCCTTAAGTATGAAAAGAATTTCAAATCAAAAAGGTGGAGAGCTGCTAAACAGGATATAGTAATAATTGCATAATTGGTGTGAAATAGGCTAATGCAGCCCTCTGCTTCCTCAAGCTTATGGAGCTTATGTGAAATGAATTTCCATCCTAACACAGAAACCAGAAATGAAAAAGATTTACCTCGTTGTTTTGACACTTGGAGTTTTTGTCCATTGCAAAAGGCTCCTTTTCCTTTTCGACCAGTATACATCTTGTCTTCCACACAGCTATACACAACTCCAAATTCCATCTGTGATAAGAGAAATGCAACATCTATAGATCTTTAACGGTCCAACTTTACATTATAGGAAGTGGTTGCAATGAAAACATTTTTTCCTATTAGAAGTTAAAATAAAATGAAAAACCAATTACCTGCTTCTTTACTACAAAGCCAATTGAAACGGCTACGAAGGGAAACCTTGAAGATCAAAAAGAGAAATATTTTGTCTTTGTAAAATGAGGACAGAAGCAATTACTGAAATTAGAAAAGTAAAATTTGGATGAAATTATTCTAGACATCCCTCTTTCTAGAAATTACTGAAAAACATGTTCTAACATTTTCATGCCAAAACAAAAACAAAGATCATCCTTTAAGTAATATGTAGTGATAGCTGAAAAAAGTACCTATGCACAAAATTAGTTGTTCCATCTATAGGGTCAATAATCCATGTGGGATTATCTGTCAAAATACTTCCTGCACCAGCTGCAACGGATTCTTCTCCGATAAAGCTAGAATGAACAATAATATACAAAGACAGACAACAGATTGAAAATTCATATTTAATATACATGTATTATAAAGTAACACTACATCTTCAAAAGCCGTAACTTATCCAGTAAACTACTTTTAGGTCATTTTAATTTTTTTAAGACCATCAGTTCATTTGAAATATTATAAAAATTTGCTGAAAAACTGAGTAATTGGTCCATGTAGTTAATACTTAGAAGCATATAGTCTGGTGCAGCTTTTCTCACTCTAATATCCTCCAGATGTGTTAAGATCACAATAGCCAATAGTCAATGTAACTGGGAAACAATACAGGCAGTCCTTGAGTTACAATAGCAATTGGGACTAGAATTTCCATTGCTAATCAGTGAACATCCCTGAAGAGGATGCCATTTTGGAGCAGTCACAGTTCCTTGAGGTTGCTCAGAAAATGGCAGGCTGCTTCTGGGATGCAGTTGCACGGACCCAGGGAGTAACCTGCTCTCCTTCCCCAATGTGAAATATGGAGCTCTTGAATCTTCAAAAGATAAGTACTTGATGGATAATGTGGGGTGGGAAGTAGGCCCAAGGCCCTATAGCAGGGATGGCTAACCTTTTCGTCATCACATGCTGAAAGTGTGCATACGCATCTGTGCCTGCACCCATAATGCAATGCGTGCATGACTCTCCCCGTGCCCCTGCACATGTGCATGACCCCTGCCTCCCGCCCCCTGTGCATGCACATATGACCTCCGTGCGCCTCGAGTCCCTTGCGCATGAGCGGCAGATATCCAACAATTAGCTGGCTGGCGGGAAGCATGTGCACATGCACAGTGGATCTGATCTGGGGCGACGGCTTGTGTGCGGCAGAGATGGATCTGTGTGCCACTTCCGACACGTGTGCCATAGGTTCGCCATCACGGGCCTATAGGAACTCTCTGGGAGAGGAAGCAGTCCAAGGCCTATGGGGCCTTGGTGAGGTGGAATTGGGGGAGATACGTGGGGATATTGGAACATCCCTGAGATTGGTTATCAGAGTGAATTACTATGGGTGCAGTGCAGGGGTCATATGTCAACACGGGGTCTTAAGTAGCTTTTTGGGAAAGGTTTATCATAACTTTGCTAAGTGACCAGTTGTAAGTCAAAGACCACTGTATATCCAGTTTCCTTATTCTTTCCTTTTAACACTTGATTTATAGCCACCCAGTTACTATTGCTGCCACTCTTTGCAAGATTTTCTCTGAATCTTTTTTAAATGGAATCTCTGGGTTTCAACATGGACTCAGATCAATGTAGCACATAGTGGAACTATATTGAAATCTGATTTGGAATCTGTTTATTCTATCATAGCTTCTATTAACATGGCCTAAATTGCATTTGCGTTTTGCACAGCCACTTCACATTATTATGAAATTCAATGAGTGAATTGATAATTCCAAGATCCTACTCATGGGTACCTTTGCTGAGATCAGACCTGTATTTTAAAGGCATTCTCTTTTGCAATTAACTTCATATAACATGCTGTACCTGTGTGATGGATATTTTTCTTTTATAGAAGATATAATCATATTTTCCACTTTTTGATCAGTGACTGTGACTAGATCTGCTGGAGAACTTTTAATCATGACAGTTACTTCCTCTGTCAATGCCTCCCGGATTACCTGTGCAGAAAAATCTTTATATGATTATTTTGAAAACAGAACATGATAAATAATATTCTTAATTATCAGCAAGACTGAAGTTAAAACTTGTCTGTTGGGGCAAGGCATAGAAGCAGCAAGAAAAATTATACTGAAAGACTCAGATTCAATTCTTATTTTACAAGGTACAAACGGGTGGGATTCTACCAGTTCAGCCCGGTTCTATAGAACCGGTAGCTCCGAAGAGCAGCTGACACTGAACCGATTCGCTCCAAAGATCTTTGCTTCGGTTGGGCCCACCCGGTTGGGCCCACCCACCCGTCCGGGTACTAGGCTGTCCTTTATTCCCTGCTAAAGCAACCTTAGTTGCTTTGGGCGGCACAGCTGAGTGCCGCATGTCAGCAGGTTATTGCTTGCAGGAGAAATTGATTTACAAGTACTGCACACGCACACTCACTGAACTGGTGTCATGCCGGTAAGATCCCATCCCTTGGTACAAACAATTGTAATGAATAAAAATGTAGAAAATGGAAAAACCCTTTTCAGATTATATTCAAGTGCCATGCATAACTAATACATACATGTATGAGGGCACTATAGGAAGTATACACTTTTATAGATGAATTGGTTGTTTTTAATAAGCTGACCATGATTTAAGGTTTCTAAACCTGGTATTTATTTTCATATTTTAAAGTATATGTGATTTCTTGTTTGCTCTGTAAAACTCTCATTTCTTTGTATTGCTTAGATAATAAAAAGAAATACAAGTCAGGTTCTTGAGCATGCACAACTTCTCAGAAAAGTTAATATTCTTAAGCAGAGATGGCAGCTTAGGGCCTAGCTGACACAAGTGTCCCTCAATTCATTATTTTAATAATTCTTACAGCAGTACTGAAATATGTTAATACAGTTATTCATTATTGGTGACAAGCCACAATTTTCAAGCTGCAAAGGATAAATTTAAAATCAGTACTTTGAACATTTAAACCATTTTTGAGGATGATATTTAAAAATCCCCTCTGATCCCAATAGAAATTAAATTATTCATACCTCTCCAGCTTTTCTTGCTAAAGCAATTGCGTAGTTCATGCATTCTTCCCAAGGATCGGCCATCTTTACCTACCTAGAATTTAATATTTCAGTTACTTTTAACTTGTAAACTACCGTTTACAAAACTAACTTCATACTCTGGATTTCTCTTGTTCGAATTTTATACTTACATATACAAATTTTACACAGATTTTATACTCATGATATACAAATAAAAATTAACATTGGTCTGCCTGGTATCTTCCATAGAAGTTTTTTTAATTTAAAAGCTGAGGGATTTTGTTTGCTTTCAAGCATTGTTTTGTTCCAGAATTTTGGGGTCATAGCTAAAAAATATACATGTATTTCCTTAGAAGTAAAACCTACTGAATATGAAATGTTTTTCTATTTATGTTTAAAGGTGCAAGTCTTAAAAAACTATATAAATACTCTTAACAGGTTGATGCATAAAAAGGCTCATTACTTTACCTTTGCAGGCCCTTCCTTATCCTTTGCCAGCAGGTGAACCGTGATAGTGGCCATAGGGAAGAACTGGTCTGACCCCTTCCTTAGCACTTAGTAGACTCCCTATATGCATCAGAAAAGGCCTCTCTGCTTCAGGCTGATTAGCTTCTATCTAGTGTTGCTCTGGGAGTACTTGCCTGCCCTCCTCCTTAATTATAACTAGAAAACACCAAATGGCAAAAGAGCATCTCTGGGAAAATAGAGCTTTTTCACCTTACCTTCACTGGAGCATCTTTTTTCCTATCTTCAAGCAAAGATGATTCCCACTATGTCAGGAGGCATATTCCTCCTCCAGCCAAGTTTGCAGACTGGTTTTCACAACCTTTTTCTGCCTTTATCCCCCATTTCTAGCTTCCCCACATTCTATGGTTCTGAGATATGTCTGCCTTGCCTTATCCATCCTGCTGTTCCATGCAGAGGAAAGCTACCAGGAAATGAGGGGGTAGCATGGTACAACAGGATGGGAGTGGCAAGGCTATCAATGGGCATAGTCTTCTTTACTGTTTTCTTGGCAACAATATAAAATAGTTTGCCACTTCCTTTTTCAGAATTGCATTTTTTTGCATTTTCCATTTTAGCATAAAGCCCTGGGATCTCCTAGTGGTCTCTCATCCAAGTACTAATCATGTCTGAGTATTTACCGGTAGGTCTTCACCTTCCTCTGGGCAATCTTCCACATCTCCCTGCCCACATAAGTCAGCAAGAGGGTGGAACTGGACTAACGATCCTCTTCTTTCAATACTTCTTGATCTTCCCTCGGAGCAGAGTAAGTGATCTTGGAGAGAGAATTCCTGGCTGAGGAAGCTCCTTTGTGCTCTTGAATGCCATTTACTGCCTAACTGCCTGATCTAGCCTAGTGTACATTTTCTTTAAAAGTAGAAGTGGCACATCAAACAGTCCCTTTCTCAGTGCCTATTTTCAAACAAATGTAGCCAAGCCTTTAGGGGACAGTTATACAAGGAATGGTGGGGCATCTATGCTAAATCAGTTTCCAGCATCCAACGAGGACGTTTGTAGCTTTTGAGAATTTAAAAAAAAAAGGGGGGGGGGGTTAGGATTATCACTTCCTGTTTTGTTTGGTTGCTGTTTAAACAGAACAGAGCTGCAATTATGCTTTTTGAAAGTTCCGGCCTTGCATATTCAATGGATCTGTCTTGGGGGGGACGGGACGTTTTCCTGCTTCCATTAAATCCAGCGTCGGATTTTCTATGACCCAAGGCTCGACCTTAACATACATGACACAGTGATAAGGGAGTTGTCAACGTATTGGAGCGCAATCGATTCCGAACCCTACGAGCTGCTGTGTCAAAGCAAGAGTTGGGAGGAAAGAATCCCCCCCCCCCCCCCCCCCAAAATAAAAATCCTAAAATTAAATCAGATCCCCGCTTAGAACAGGCAATCTCGCCAGCCCGGGACTTACCGTTAGGAGGCCAATTTTTTGCAGCAGCTACCGGGTACTGGCAAAGCCGGTTGACCAGACACCGCCTCAGCAGCACCCACTGCGCAGGCGCTGCAAAGTTCTTCAGCCGTCCCTTCTGCTCCTGCGCTGCCATTGCAAATTGTCTGATTGTTCCCGGCAGTGCGAGTCTGAAAGAGCGAGGCCGGGCTCGTGCTTCCATTGGCTGCCGAGAGTTCGGATGTTCGTGGGGGCGCGGCGAAATTCCACGGCCCCTTCCCGAGAAAATAAACCTACCTTCTTACGCGTATTTAGCCGAGGGCTCAGCGTAGCTGCATAAAATTCGGGCATGTTTACCTTTCGAATTCAGCCTGAATCGGGCACACCAAATAGGCGAGTAGATCATTTGTACTTTGCTTGCAAAATACGAAGGGAAAAATAAAAGCAGTTTTGATAGAGGTCCGTTTTCTTTTTAGCAATTTGCGCCTTTAATTGCTTCATTCTGTTCCGAAATTGGACTGGGTCGCTGAGTGTATTAAGGAATGGAGATAAAGGGCGGTCAGAAGGAGAGAACGGTATTCTTTTGATTGTAAAAAATATTTCAATAGAATTACGAAAAAATAGCATTGGGCATTGTCTCGTCGTCAAAAAGGAGCTGCTGGACACACTTGCCATGATTCCCCCCCCCCCCCCCCAGTCTTATATTACTTTAATAAATATAAAACTCAAAGTAATTAACCTTGCTTATCAATGTATTTCAACACGATATCTTTTCAAACTGCCCATGAGCAATTATTTTAATGTTTAAAAGATATTTTGAACACGCAGGTATATGTCCAACGCCCAATACTGTGATTCATTTGTTTTCCTTCTTTGAGAAACATTGAAATATTTATATTGTGTACTAGATTATCCAAACGTAACTACAGCTAATGTACAATATCACCTATCAACCAAACCAAATTCCAAATCCCCTTTTTCATAAAAAGAGAAAATATATTGGAATATTTTAACATGATATATAATTTGTAAAATATACATTATAATTTATAAAAAAAATGGCTTGGTTGTTCGAGATTTTTGTATGACTACACACAGCTTATAACAGAAACATTTCTACTTCCATAGCTGATAGAATTGCAAATTGACTGTCATAGTAGTGCATATATCTGAAAACATTAATTACATTACTTCAAATATTTTTGACAAATAAAACTCAGGGTTGAAAAAGATTAAATTGTTAATAGTTGATACAATTGTAAGACACAATAATAATGTCCTATTGACATTTGAACCATTTAATTGATCCCAAATTCACCGAATATCAAAATTAAATATGCAAGTGAACCGTAAATACAGAATGGTTTTCAAAATAAATATAAAAATTCCAAAAGAGCATCTATGACTGACTTTACATAATGCATTGTCAGAATCTTCAGTAGATATATTTGAAGAATTTGTGTAATTAAAACTTTTTTTGGCTGAAACCGTTACTGAAGAATGTGGCTTCTATAAATTGCTTTTGTATTAATAAAGCACCACTACTATCTAAATTGTATATGTGAGTCACTCTCCATTAGCTGGATCACAGGAGTAGAATGAGCAATACTTACTGAAGTACTCTTTAACAAAACTATCATGTACGGTATTTCCATTCTGGTTGAGAATTTTTTAGTTCCTATCGTTATTTGATAAATTTTTTTTATTTACAACATTTATACAGTAGAACATTTTCAGACAACTCTGAAAAATTATTTTTCAGGACTATTTGTAGCAAGAGACAGTAAATAGGCAAAATTTTGTGACATAATCTTCCACTATGTTTAATAAATCCCACCCTGTTGCGATTTTATTTCAACTTCATTTATTTTATCTGGTTCAGAAAACAGCAGGCAAATAACACAATCACCTGCTGTACTTAAATACTAAATTGATAATAATCTACATGTAGGAATGCAGCAGCACAGATTAAGCACCACAGGTAGACTTTTCAGTTTAGTAGCTGTCAGTCTGAACTCTATTTTTCGATACATGAGATGACATGTATGACAAATGTATTTGCCCACTTCAGAAAACAACAGACTAAATACAGATTTCTTTTTAAACTGAATTTTCGTTTCTTAGGAAAAATCACTCTTGTACCATAGAGCTAGCAAAACAAAAAGTCTCATGTTAAATCTGATACAATAAATACAAAAGCAATATTTTCCATAATTACTATAGATAAGAATCTGCATCTGCTAAAAATTCAATGTCATTATCAAGATATTCTAGGATTACATTTCCACCATTATACAGTGGCGATTCTTTAGAATTTATCCACGATTCTATTGTTTGATCCAAAGGCAGGGCTTCTCCAGATTCTGGGTGGCAAAGTCTTAATTTCTGAAAATTGGAAGGGGAGGAAGTTAATCAGTTTTAAATCCAAATATTTGGAATTCCCACAATATTGCTTCAATTGATTTACCTTGGCTGTGGTTTTGTTGTTGTCATTTTTAAGGCTTGCTAAGCAGGCTGCAGAATCTATTGCTTTTCCAATGCTCCATTTGCTGCAAATGTACATGGGTATACTTTTATTTTTGCTTCCTTTGGGTAAAAATACTTGGAAATAGATTCTGTCTGTCTATAAGAGAAAAACACAAAGTGCAGTGTTAAAATAGTTCCTAGTTGCATATTCCATTTATTTTATTGCTTTAAAAGGAACTTTTGCATTTTTCCACCAGTGCATAAATTGCTCACCCCAGAGCTATAATTTTAAGACAAATTCCATCTTCGCCCTTCACTTCAGAAAATCTACATAAGTGTTGTACCTTATGATTCTTGACTCTTGGAGAATGTATCTTTTCTTTTATGTACATTGAGAGCATTTGCACCAAGACAAATTCCTTGTGTGTCCAATCACACTTGGCCAATAAAGAATTCTATTCTACATCTTACAGACAAGCAACGGTGCCCCCTACCACTTTTGAAACAAGTTTGAGGGATTAGGAAAAAAAATGTTAGAGAATGAATACTGCAGTTATTCAGAAATGTATTTGTTTAATCCATAAGCATGATTTACCTGCGGAACAGACTTCTCTCCACATGCATGCATTTTTAGTTTCATCAGGGCCACTTTCGCAGCTGTTTCAGGGTTCTTGGCTCCTCTGCATTTTTTAATTGCAGTCACTTCTTTTTTAGAATCTAAAAATATACAGACATTTACTGGGTTGAATTACCCATCCCTCTTTTTTTTTCAAAATGTTGTGGGCAGTTGTCTTGGAACAAAGTGCTGCCTCTCCTTGCTTGTGTGTTTAAGATGCAGTCTCTTGCCTGATCTTCAACTCCTGACAGTTGCCAATATTCAACATGTGTGATTGAGAAGTGACAGCAATGAAATCTAAAGGAAGAGATGCTTAGGAATTCCTTAGTATGAGAAAAGAAGCTTTTATGTTACTGTGTTTAATATAAAATACTGTGGAACAGCAGTATCATTAATGAAAAAAGGCTTTGAGTTATACTACAATCTATTCTTGCAGATTTCAATATATAACAAAGATAGGGAGCATGATGTCCATGGACACCCAAGTTCCCAGAGTGCCATGTGTTTCTTTTCATTTTTTCATTTTTTTTAAAGAAGCGGGAAATTGCCATGCTGGAAAACAAATTCCAGCCTCCAATGTAATCCTTATTTATATTGTAAATACTATATGGGGATTATAACTCTGGGCCTACTTGGAAAAAAGGTAAACACTGGAGTATGAAGAATGGAGTACTGTTTTGCTACATTCAGTTCAGAAGACAGACTTCAAATTCCCATTATAATCAACTGAGTTTACAGAACGCAGCTTAACCTCTGCAATACTTTTGAAGCAGGATTTATTCAGCTAAAGGGCATGGATCACTGGATATGTGCTCTATTCTAACAATATTTTAAAAAATCCTTCTGCACTTACCTACAATATCTTTAATCAGTTGCCGAGTGCCAGTCATACGAGCTTGAGGGATTTCCAATTTCTCACACTCATGGTCTGACTGATGACGGTGCCTGGAAATAACAGACTGCCAAATATTCACTAGATACTTTACAGAACAATAGGATAAGATTTGTTCAGATCATTGCCTTTTCTCACCTTAAACAAAATTGTTTTTCACAGTAAGCGCATAAGATAGGTACAAGTTCTCTTCCATCACAACCTTTATACATGCATGGAAATGATTTGTGATAATCCAGTTTCATATTTTTGTTTTTTAGATTTGCCTAAGTGAATTAAAAAATACCATTTAAAATCTTATTTCAAAGATCAAATTATATATTGAAATTATAAAAGTTCATAGTTTAAACTAAGTGTACACTATTTAAAATAAACTACCTGGTGGCAACAACCTGAGAGGAAGTAGCTAGTTCAAATTTAGATATAATGCCAAACTATACCAGTTAATCCTTTGCTTAGATGCTCCTTCTCCCCCTGTGAACTCCTGGATATATAAGAGTCATCAAAATAATTTGCATACCTGTCCTACAAACCTGGAGTACAACTTGACTTAATAGCTCTTTGTAGGGTAGACACAAGCCATAACTAAACTACGTAGCAAAAACAGATATCTTGCAAACCATCTTTTGCAAATCCTGGTGGCATAGTGGTTAGAATGCAGCACTGCAAGCACACTGACATAGCCTGAAGTTCGATCCTAATGGGGCTCAAGATTGACTCATCTTTCCAAGTTTGGTAAAACTGTTGGGGACAATATGCTGACTCTATAAACTGCTCAGAGGGTGCTGTAAAACACTATGGATTGATATATAACCTCACTACTGTTAGCTATTTAATTGAAACCTTTGGTTTTACCATTTTACTTTTTGGAGCAGTTCCCTGACTCTGGCAATTGGTTTCCCTTTGGTGCTGTCTATCCAAATTGCTAGCTATAATTCCATCAACTGGTCAACAGGAAAGTATAATTAATAGTAAAGGAAGCCAGGTAATAGTTGACCTTCAAACTATTTGTTCTTCCCCAAAGATAGGATTAGAAAAATAGCAATAGCACTTAGACTTATATACCGCTTTACAGCCCTCTCTAAGCAGTTTACAGAGCCAGCATATTGCCTCCAACAATTGGGGCCTCATTTTACCCACCTCGGAAGGATGGAAGGCTGAGTCAACCTTGAGCCTGGTGAGATTTGAACTGCCAAATTTTAGATAGCTGGCAGTCAGCAGAAGTAGCTTGCAGTACTGCACTCTAACCACTGTACCACATAATATTTTGAGGCTTAGCTGAAAACTGTTTTCAACTGCTGCAATGAAAGAAAATATTACTTTCATTGCAAACAGACTATGTTCACAGTCTAATTCACAATAACGTCCTCACTTGGTCAGCTGTTCTAAACTATATACTCTAAGAGACCTTTTTTTGCAGGCATAATTTAGCAATAAGACAACCTGGATGAG